TAATATTTGGAGTTGGAGGAGGAGGAGGGGAGTTTTATCCATTGCCACTTTTACTTTGGCCTATCATAAGGAACAAGAGCCGCAAATTTTCTGTGACCAATTGAACTAAGCTTGGCGGCTTTTACCCATTGAAATCTAGAAAATTGAGGACCTCTATGTTTGCTCTTATTTAGGCTGATGGATATTTGCCCATAATTTTTAAGCAATTTCACATCTTTCCTCAGCTAGGGCTAACACAATAAGATAAGGGTTCAGAAATTATGTATGTCATTTTATAGATGTAAAGACAAAATATTAAATTCTTTGTTTAGAAAAAAACATATTTAAGCTGCTTTATTAGTTGTCAAAATCATTTTTTTCATACTTGAACCCTTGTATACTATATTTACACATTTCATACTTTTTAAGTTGAGACTTACCAGATATGGAATAATAGAGGCTAGTTTAGCTTTGAGAAACCAGTAGTTTAAAAGACAACCACAAAAGTTGCGACTTCAATTTTTCAAGTATTAGTTGTTTTGTAAGGCTATTGCACCTTTTAAAAGCTGGAGCTTTAGGTAGTAGATACCAAAAAGTTAGTAGATACCAAAAAGTAAATTTAGGTAGTAGATACCAAAAAGTAAACCTATATATACTTATTTATTAAAAAGCTAAATAATTATTAATGTGCAACAAAATCCTCTCTATTGCCATAAAGATACAATTCCCAACCTTTTCCCATAAAAAGGACAGCCAGGGAGTACAAAACTTGTACTTTTTTTTTTTTTTAATTTTAATTCACCTCCTCAAGGCCGAGAAGGCCACTACAGACGAGGAGGCTACTTATTTGTGGCTATAACCCTCTCTCAACTCTATAACTCCGAAACACGAACCTTGACGAACAAGGCCGCTGCGCGGAGAAACGAGTTGAGCGCGGTACTACCAGGGACGTGGTGGGGATCGAACTCATCGTGGTGGGGATCGAACTTGGCTTTAGAAAACACATAAATGTACGCTTACCATAGTACTTCCTTTTAATCCCACTCGGAAAATAAAAGTAAATCAAAATATATAGATATAATTAAATTTACATAGATATTAATATTTTTTGTATAATAAAGAGTAAGATATTAGTTGTATATAAAATAACAGGTGAGGAGAAATTAGTTACATAAAAGTCAACTTAGTTTTGCATGAAATCCATAATATTATATTTTAGCATTCAAATGTAATTTGTATTTTTAAATATTCTAGTTTTATTTTAAAAAAATTATTCAAAAAAAAAAAGTTAAATCGCAAAGAAAGACCAGTTCTTCAAAATAATGTCAAAAATTATTTTGTAAAAAATCCAAAAGCTACCAAAGCTGAAGCTGCTAACCATTTTATTTAAGAAGGAATCTGTCGCAAATTAGCATATAATTATATCAATCGACACCTTACAGGACAGTGTTTACAAGTTACAAAAAATTCTGGACACCTATCATCATGGACTTGAGAAAAAATAGCAAAACTTCGCAGGTTGACCAACAATCAAAAAGGTCAAAAAAAATTTGCACGTAAATTCAACATTGATCAAAAGACAATTTGTAAACAATCAGCCAAAATGAACATTAAGTACTGTAAACATTAAAAAAACAACTAAATACAATGTTGGACAGCGTTTAAGGGCACAAAAAAGAACAGAGTCTTTTAATTTTAGACAACCAAAAATACTTTTGTATCGGGGGCGATAAAATGCCTAGAAACTCTGGATATTACATTGACGACAAAGACAAATGTCCGGATAATGTTCATTTTGCAGAAAATAAAAAATTTCCAAAAAAAATTCTTATTTGGATAACACTATCTCAGCGTGGAATGTTGAAACCACTCTTTCGGTCAACAACATTGGCTGCAATAAAATCAAGCATTTATATCAAAGAATGCTTGAGTAACGACATACAACATTCATCGATAAGTATCATCAACACCTAAATTACATTTTTTTGGCCAGATTTAGCAGTGCTTATAGGTCTAAAGAAGCCATTTCCTGGATGGATGAAAATATCAATTTTGTGCCAGTATATATGAACCCTCCTCATGTCCCCAAAGCCAATCAAAGACTTTTGGGGAGTCAGAATGTGTTTGGCAGGCCAAAATTTCACAACAAATGATTGGGCGTATCAATGCATGTTTGAAAAAAATTGATGCAACAATTGCATCAATCTCAATCACTTATGAATTGTATCAAGACAAAATTGAGGTTAAAAGCCAACAAGGGAGTACTATCGGTTTATAAAAAATAATTTTGTTAAAATAAATATTGTATTAACTTATATAAAATATTTTAAAAAATTTTGCTTTTATTTCTTTAAAAATACAAGGCTTTGATTTTTGTTTAACTAATTTCTTCTCACCCGTTATATACTATTTATATAGGTATGTATATTTAATGTCTACTATGTACTAGGTAGGTATAGAATCAAGAAACCAGCAAATTTTTTAGAACTTGCTGATTGCTCTAAAACAAGAAAAATTTTTGTCAAAAATAAATTGCTACATTTTCATACTACATAGGTACCAACAAATTCAGATATCAAGTTATTAGGCTACTTTTTCTGAGACCCACAGCTAATAATATTTTGATAAAATTTCCTCAGGTATCCTAAATCTTCTTAACACTGTTTCACTCAAAATTTATTCAAAAATTTGGGTACAAAATTGGAAAAAATATATGTATTCGGGAAATATAGTGTTTTACAAAAATGGCAACCAATTATATAAAACCCTACATAATTCTCTTCATAAAGATAATTCCATACTGATTTTACATTATGTTAATTCTATGCTGATCACACATGGTTTCTGGACCCTTATCTTATTGTGCTATAGCTCTAGCTGATGAAAAATGTGAAGAAATAATATCCATCAGCCCAATTGAAAGCCAACATAAAGGTCCTCAATTCTTTAGATTTCAGCGGATTAAAGCCGCCAAGCTTAGTTCAATTGGTCACAGAAAATTCACGGCTTTTGTTCCTCGTGTTAAGATTAAACTAATAGTAACTGTCAAAGGATGAATACCCCTCCCCCTTCAAAAATGCACTTGAAATGGTTTCTACCAAAAATTTAAGGATGCTGTTTTTCATCTTGCTGTTGTTAATAATTGCTTTGAAAAACTGATAAGCTCATAATGGGCAACATTGATATTGCTAGAAAAGAAGAGAAGATTTATTCTTAAACAAGTTTATTTGTATAATTACAATAATAAAAAACTTTTTGTGTGAGTTTAAAATTTTTTTCTTAAAGTTTAGTAAATTACATCTTCCTATCACCTAATTAAATAAACTATTAAGAAATAGACAAGTAGTTTATTAAATTTATTACTTTTATTTTCATTCAACTCACTAACTTAGCTTTACAATTCAACCAAGGTAGATTCTGAGTGGAACTAGTTATATTTAGACTCTATTAGGATTAGGGCATATTATGAATATTGATTCAGAAATTAGTAACGGCCGGATTTTGCTTAAAACTGATTAATCGGTATTGGCACCAAAACGGCAGACCAATCCAAATAGTGAAAATAAAGAAAGTAGTAAAACCAAAACAAAATACCATAAGACTAAATAACTAAAAGAACATGTTTTTCACAAAATAAAGCAGAAAAACTCAAAAAGTATTTATAGAAAAACACCGCTAATTATCCAAATCGTATCTGGAATCGGCAGAAAAATGCTAATTGGTTATACCCTAATTAGGATTATAAATATTTTTATTTTCAAAAATATTTAAATTATTTTTGTTTTCAAAATTATATAAATTATTTTTGCTTTCAAAATTATTTAAATTATTTTTGTTTTCAAAAATATTTAAATTATTTTTGTTTTCAAAAATATTTAAAAAATACTTTATTTTATTTTTTGTTTATTTCAAAAAATAATTAAAATCATTAAGTTCATTAGGGGACAGTTGACTTAATTGGAACATTTGCATTTACTTTAGAAAAAAAAAAGAACTTTTACATTTTTCTAGTAAAACATGTACTTTTTACGTTTTGACAGATTTTAAAAGTTATCCATAAAAAAATGCACATACACAATTGATTTAAAGCTTTTTTGCGCTATTTTTTTCGGTGATCTACACACTATATTAATTGCACTGGGTAAACTATACTGCTACAAGTTATACAGTTTTGTTGTGCTAATGCAATGAGATTTAAAATGCAAATAACATAAACTTAGCTTATAAGTTGCTGCAAGCATGATAGTACAGTGATATAACAAAATAGCCCAAAGTTTCCCTGATTGGAACTATAAAGTTTTCTATACTTAATCAGTGATAAAACCAAGATTAAAACAATAGTTCAGGCGCAACTTAAAATACTTAGTAATAACCATAAACCTCAGAAATAATAAACTATTTATTGCTTTTTAATCAATAAAATAAAAACATGTTATAATAGTTAAAGCTTTTAGGCAATCCTTTGTTTGGAGAATTTCAGTTTGCCAGGGTAATATTAATCCTATTATAAGTTTTGAATGAACTATTCAAATTGCCACTAATATAAATAATATAATTTTTAATTGATTTTTGTTGATTTTACAGGGTATTTTTTTAAAAGAAAAAACCATTTCTAATCAATGAATTAAAATGTTCCAATAGGAAACAGGTTGCCTTGATTGGAAAAAAATGGTACTTTTGCAAAAAAAAATTTATTTCCAATAACAGAGCAATCACTTAAAGTTAAACTATGAGTAAAATTACAGGGTTGTTTGTTTTTATTAAACAAATCATAAATATTTTCATAGTCAGGCCAAATTTGGTTAATAAATATTTATTCATTAAGTGTTCCAATGGAGGCAACTCTCCCCTATATCTTTTTTAACAACTAACAACTCACTTAGTTATTAAAAAACTAATTCTTAGTGCATGCTTGTACAATAAAATCTTAAAGATTGAAGTAAATGTTAAAAAAATGATGAGTCTAACCAAAAGTTTTTTTAAATTAAATTAAATTATTAAAAACCCATATTAATGCACACCTCCTCGTCATCTTCACTGCTTGAGTTATCAGCAAAGATAGACGCAACTTTACCAAGGTCAGTCTTTGTAAATCCTTTCTTTGGAAGTAGAAGACCATAGCTACACAAAACCCAAAAAAACAACAAAAAAAAACAATTAAAGCACTTTGTTTTCTATTATACTTCTTTATGGACAAAAATCGAAGTACACTTTTTTAAAATTAAATTGAAAAAATCAACAAACTCTGTTTAAATTTTCAAGAAGTACACTATGTTTTACTTCTCAAGAGGTAAAACAGTGTATTTATAATTGTGTTTTTGTAAAAGTTATTTTTTTGCATCGTTTGATAAATTTTGATATAACTCTCGCTTAAGATCTTAAGTAAAAACTGTATTAAAATGCATATAAATGATTATCTTAAGTGCTTCACATTTTACAAACAAATAACAAGATATAATTTCCGAGAGAATTTATAAACAGATTTAGTTTTAAATTTTAGACCTTTTACTTGTCATCTTATGTTCTTTGTTATTAAAGTTGACCAAACTTTTAAATACTCGCACTCGCACACTTCTTCGTAGAACCTTTAGTTAACTCTTAAATTCGCGTATAGTTTAACACTTGATTTTATCTTAAAACAACGTTTTAAGTGCGGTTTTAGACTGTAATGGACTTTTTTTGCCAAGTAGGGTGGGGGTGAAAATTACTTTTTTTTTTACTTTCTTCTACTATACCTAAAATTGCGCTTCGGCAATTTTACGGCTAATTTGCAGGATATTGGTTGTACAGATATATATATATATATATATATATATATATATATATATATATATATATATATATATATATATATATATATATATATATATATATATATATATATATATATATATATATATATATATATTATATATATATATATATATATATATATATATATATATATATATACAGTAGCTTTCATAAATTTAGACGCATTCATTTTTTTTTCATATATGAAAGAAAATACTCAAAATAAAAATAAAATAAAAGTACTACCGCTATGTTTGATATATAATTTACAAAAGGAAGTGAAACTCTATTAAAGAGTACCTTAATTTTTTTTACAGGATGTTTATTACTCATTCTATACCGATTAACACAAAAAAGTTAATTGATAAGCTTGATTTTATTTTGTTCATAAATTTAGACGCACAATCAAAAAAGTCTTATATCTTGTTAATTGATAGTTAATTAGTAGTTTTTTCCCCATATTTCTCATTAATAGGCCTAAAGTAATTGATTCTGTCAAAAAAACTTATATAAATATGACTTACCTGGAATTAGTTAATCATTATTTAATAAATAAACAAAAGTTAAGTTAGTTTCGCACTAAAAAGACGCGAAAAATGGGCAAAAGACGTATCACTCAAGGTGAAAGATGGCAAATTAATGCGCACATTAATTTGCCATCTTTCACTCAAGGTGAAAGATGGCAAACTAACATGCACAAAGAAGGAACCAAAAGTAATAAAAAAATCGCCAAGTTAATTGGAGTTTCTGAGAAATGCGTTCGGACAACGAAACAAAACTTTCTTCACACTGGTGGTGCCAGCGAAAAAACGAGGAAAGGTAGACCCTTGTCAACCACCAGAAAGGACGATAGTGTTCATTTTAGAGCTGTCAGAGCTAACCCATAAATTAGTTACAGAGATTCAACCACAGAATTCAATACAACGAGAAATACATCTATTTCTCAAAGCACAGTCCGCCGAATACTTATCAAATACAAGATTGAAGTCTGCACTGCTTTGAAGAAACCGCTTCTGCGTCCATATAATAAACAAAGGAGACTAAAATGGTGTCGTGAAAGAAGGTATTGGACAATAGAACAATAGGAAAACATTATGTGGAGTGATGAGAGTAACTTTGAGCTTATCAATCGCAAATCTAACATAACAGTCAAAAGAATGGCTCATGAAAAGTGTTATGCCAGGTACATTAGACCAACTGTACAAAGTGGAGGAGGCTCAATAGGAATCTCGTCATGCCTTAATTACAAAGGTGTTGGTATGTGCCGAACATACACCGGAAGAATCAACTCCAGAATATACGTAGAAGTACTGGAAAACAACTTAATTCCATCAATTGACCTGCTTATGCTCAATGATAAACCATGGAAACTTCAACAAGATGGCGCTACTGCACATACTGCATACTATGCAAAGGAGTGGTTCAACGATAATAGTATCATGACAATACCGTGGCCTCCATACTCACCTGATTTAAACCCGATTGAAAACATTTGGGCTTGGATTGACCGTGAATTAGCAAAGGTTCAAATTTCCACACTTACTTAGCTGAAGGAATTACTTAAGGAGAACTGGTATGGGGTCCCAGAAGCGATGTGCAAAAATTTTGTTGAGTCTATGCCTAGAAGAGTTCTTAGTTGTATTAAAGCAAAAGGCGGATACACAAAATATTAATTGGTTCATAAATTACGCCTTCTAATGTATCGTGCGTCTAAATTTATGAATAATTTTTTTTGTCTAATTATTTTAATACCATGTAGTTGTACCTAATTATTACTTAATATTTCATTTTTTTTGTAAACTTTTTTTAAATTTTGTATTCTGTATGTATTTATCTAATAAATAGAAAAAAAACTAAACTAAAATCTTTTTTCGTCATTGTTTTATCGTTGAAAAACTAAAAATTATTATTCTCAAATATGAGTGCGTCTAAATTTATGAAAACCACTGTATATATATATATATATATATATATATATATATATATATATATATATATATATATATATTATATATATATATATATATATATATATATATATATATATATATATATATATATATATATATATATATATATATATATATATATATATATATATATATATATATATATATATATATATATATATATATATATATATATATATATATATACTTTTATTTTGCTGATTAAATAGTTACAATAAAAATTTTCATATAATCATGTAAAATAATATAACAAATAAAAAAACTTTTTATAAAACCACGTTTTTGTAATGAACTAAAAAGTAGAAAATAATTTTCTCTTGTGGCTATAGAAATTTTTGAAAATTAATTGAGTCGATAGTAAGTGACATGAAAACTTTTGATTATGAACTCTTAATAATTACGATAATATTTGTAAAATTTTAAATGAAAAACGTGGTGCGCATCTTGTCACTTTAAATGATCATCATCGTCCTTAATTACTTTAACTATTGCTTCCTTTTTCTGTTCTTTTTTTCCGTTTAATGCGCACCACGTTTTTCGTTTAAAATATTACAAATATTATCGTAATTATTAAGAGTTCATAATCAAAAGTTTTCATGTCACTTACTATCGATTCAATTATTTTTCAAAAATTTCTATAGCCACAAGAGAAAATTATTTTCTACTTTTTAGTTCATTACAAAAACGTGGTTTTATAAAAAGTTTTTTTATTTGTTATATTATTTTCTTCTTTTTAGTTTTTGATGGGTGGAATTTTATATTTTGTAAACAACTGGTTTTGTTTTTATGCTGCGGTCCATTTAAAATCACAGCGACAATCTGGGTTTTTTGTTCGAAAAATTTTTATTTAAAGCGACGCGTCAAATTGCGGCGACGCCTCCAAAAGTTTCGCCATAATAAATTTTATTTTGCTGAAATTGTTCAAGAAAGTCGGCAAATCATGATAAAAGTAGTATAATATTGCATTGTCATCGGGTTCTGAGCTATAGTAAAAGTTTCAGAGCTCTAGCTAATCGAAAAGTGGGTTAAAATTGAGTTGCAAAATTCCACCCGGACAAACAAACAAACAAGAAAGCGAGCTAATAAAAACGTGGTAAAATACATAAAATACACGTTGTAAAGATAAACATGATGAAAAACGTTTTTTCATAATTTTTTTATTTTATATTATGTATATTCTGTTCTAATCAGTCAGGGACTCAAAGAAGGTAAGGATGATGTGTTTAACATCACAACCTTTTCATAGAGCCCCTATAGTCACTCATTATAAAGACAATTTAATTTTAAAAATAAAATAAAAATTCAATAAAAACAAAGCTCATATTTTTTTAGTGTAACAAATTCAAAAACAAAAAATATTAAAAACAAGAAAAATAAGAAGAAGACGGAAAAAAAAAAAAATAAATAAAAACAAATACTGTAAATTAAAAAAATATATATGTCAGGAATTAAGAAGATGCATTTTAGTTTCCCGTTTAAACGATGAAATGCTTTTTAGGTCTTTAATATTTTTATTTTGGAAATGATTCCATGTTGATGGGCCACGGTTTGTAATTAAAAAATTTGACTGATGTGAATTAATTTTCCCTAAGTGGTAGTTGTACCTGGTATTTAAACGCAAATTATATTTTTCAGAAAACAATATCAAGAGAGTATCTGAAAAAACGCTTGGTAGGAGGTTGTTCTTATACTTATACATAAAAATTAATATCTGTAATGTGTTAAACTTCTCAATATCTAGAACCATCATGCTTTTCATCACTGGGGCCGGGTTTACTAACCTATTTAAATAGTTTATTACTTTGCATGCATGGTTTTGCAGGCTTTGCAATTTTAGCAGTTTTGTTTTATGGGTGCTGGCCCATACAATATTTGCGTACAAAAGTTGACTATGTACAAGACTAAAGTAAAGCATATTACGCGATTTACTATCGAGAAAAGGTCTCGACTTATACAAAACGCCTATTACAGGGACATTTTTGTTTCAAGGAGACCAATATGGTTTTCCCATGACAAATTTTCATCAAAAAGCACTCCCAAAAATTGTATACATTTTTCACGTTTGATTTCATTTTTATTAATAAGCAATTTAGGAAGCTTTAAAGGGAGATTAATTGATTGTTTTTTTTTATGAAAAAGGGTAAAACTAGTTTTTTGATTTAGGGATAGTTTATTTGCTATGAACCAGAGGTTGAATTTTTCAAGTTCAATATTCATAGTTTCAAACAAAGTCTTTGCATTAGGATGATTAAAAAATAAATTTGTATCGTCAGCATACATAATTGTAGATATTTTTTGGGATATTGTAGATATTTTTTGGCTTTATGCATATCGTTAATATAAATTAAGAACAATAATGGACCTAGGATTGAACCCTGAGGAAATACGTAATATCGAGGGCTCCTGACTTTTCTAGTAATACAAATTGCTTTCTGTTAGACAAATAGCTTTGAATCCACTTAAATATTGAGCCTATTATACCATAGTATTTTAGCTAGGAAAGTAAAATACTGTGATCAACCGTATCAAATGCCTTGGAAAGATCAACAAAAACTCCTAATACCAGCTCATCACTATCAAACGACTTAAATATTTTATCAGCAAGTTTCATAATAGCATGTTCAGTAGAACATCTACTTTAAAATCCAAACTGATTTTTGTATAATAAATTGTTTAATGTAAAGTAATTGTTTACTCTGTTATATATTATTCTCTCAAATACTTTTGAAAGTATTGGAAGAAGAGAAATAGGTCGGTCGTTGGAAACATTATTGCAATCACCTTTTTTGAGAATTGGGTTAATTTTGGCTAATTTAAGTTTGTTAGGGAATATACTATTTTCGAATGAAGATGATATTAAATAAAATAAT